AGCTACTGTATTCTGTATGCCTCTTTTCTACACTCTGCTTTTATATTTCATATTTTTTCCATTGAAGGCCTACAGAAATTTGCTCTCTTCTAAATGCTGAATTCATTACAAAAGCTTGGAAACAAGGAGAGGAGATAAAATCAGGTGGAAATTTAGCGGGATTTCACATCCAGCTGAGTATCTGTCTTAGATGCAAACTATTATCTTGAAGTCATCCCTTGAAGAGTCACCTCAGTTCTCATTTCTAGATACTCAAGTAGATAATCTCCCCCATCCTTGACATTATGCAAATCCTTGATTTATGCCGCTGAAATCTCACCCCCCCACACCCCCGCAGACTGACCATGTAATCCTAATTCCAAGTATTTGGTTGGCTACTGTTTCCCAGGCCTGCCGCAACACCCTCTCTTCCTCCATCTATTTCCACACAGCCACCAGAGTGATCTTCCTAAAACATAAGTCTGCCTTTGTCCCTTTCTTACTTAAAACTTCCTAAGGCTCCCATTATTCATATAAAATCCAAACCACTCAGCAGGCCCCAAATGTCTTTCATAACCTGGCCTCTGTCAGCCACCGACATGACACTATTCTTTAAGAAGATCAACCAGTCACTAGGTGGAAATTCAGTTACATTGAGGCCTCCTGTTCTGAAAGGAGTACTGGCTCATGCCTACAGGAACAGATTCCTCTTCAGGTAAGGGTTTCCCTCTCCTGCCCACAGATGCTTAGATAGCACCACTACCTGGAGGCTTATGGAATGCCTGGTCCACAGGCATGAAATCACCACATAATACACTCATGGTCTTAAACCCCCTCTCCCCCGACTTATTTTCTCCTTTCTCTTACCCATCACAAGCATTTCTCCCAATGAACCTTTTGCACACCCAATCCCATCTTGGTTTCTGCTCCTCAGAAGACTAGAACTGACAATACCAAGAGTAGTCCAACACCAGAGGTGGTAACATGGATTTGGAAACTGGCTCACTCACCACCCAACTGGCAGAGACCTGAGTATGAGGCAAGAATAATGTCTTACACAAGATGGGAGCCCAGTGCTGGCAATTTCCCAGTGGTGACCTGGGAAATAACTGAGGGCAACACTCTGGTAGTAATTCAGGAATTTGAAAACTAAGCTATAAGGATAGCAAAAAAAGTATATTGTTAAAAGGATTGTTTCACCAGGAGGATACTCAAATGCTACATTTGAATACATCAGTAGTAGAGTCCACTATATAGTCTCGTTTTAAAATATAAAAGGGGAGGGCAGCCCAGGTGGCTCAGCCGTTTAGTGCCGCCTTCAGCCCAGGGCGTGATCCTGGAGACCTGGGGTTGAGTCCCACGTGGGGCTCCAGGCATGGAGCCTGCTTCTCTCTCTGCCTCTCTCTGTGTCTCTCATGAATAAATAAATAAAATATATTTAAAATATATATATATATATATATATATATATATATATATATAAAAGGGGAAATTGACACAATTATAAACAAAAGTTGGCAAATCCACAATCATAGAGGGAGTCTTTGCCCTCTTTCGGTAGTGATGTAATTAACAGTAATTAACGGTTAATTGATTGCTTATTAGGTACCAGGCATTTTTCTAAGTACTTTACATATTTTAATTCATTTATTCTTCACAATAACCCTCTAAGATAGGTACTAGTGTTGCCTCTGTCACAGTTGAGGAAATTGGACCTAGAGAGATGAAGAAAACTCAGAGAAAACCCAGAGAAGGGTGGGGATACTGGCAAAATGGATGAAGGGGAGTGGGAGGTAGAGGCTTCCAGTTGTGGAGTAAGTAAGTCATGGGGATGAAAGGCACAGCACAGGGAAGACAGCTGATAGCATTGTAGGAGCGCTGTATGAGGACAGGTCATAATCTATATTTGTGGTGAGCACAGCAGAACCCATAGAGCTGTCGAATCACTATGTTGTACACCTGAAATTAATGTAACACCGTGTGTCAACCATACTTCAATTAAAAAAAGAAAAAGAAAATTGTCCAGAGTTAACTAGTAAGTAGCAGAACTAAGATTTAAACCCAGACAGTTTGATTGGCTTTTTCTTATTTTCTTATGCAGGTAAAAAGATGTTTACCTGGCAAAACTATGGAGCCAATAAAAAAATCAGCAGTTGAGGGGCAAGGGTCAATAGGCAGAGCATGGGATTTTTAGGGCAGTGAAAATCTTCTGTATGATGGATATGTGTCATTACACATCTGTCCAAACCTGAAGAATGTACAACATCAAGAGTGAACCCTCAGGTAAGCTATGGGCTTTGGGTGATAATGATGTGTCAATGTAGGTTCACCCTTGGTTTAAAAAAAAAAAGGACCATTCTGTTGAGTGAGGCTGACAATGGGGGAGACTGTACATGTGATACGCAAGGGCAGATGATATATGGGAAATCTCTGTAACATCCTCTCAAACTTACTGCTCTTAAAAAAGTCTTCATTTTAAAAAACTGTTTATCTTATTTTATACAGCATTTCTTGATATCTTCCAATAGGAAGATTTTTTGGTCATCTTGTCCTATACATGATAAAAATAGAAGCACTAACAACTACTTTACAATTAAATTTTTATCTTTTTTTACTGTAATTTTCCTCACACAAGCCACTTCCTTATTTAGGCTGTTTCAAATCACAGTCCTAAGTCTGCGTGCATTACTCTGCCTAGATGACTAAGATGTGACCCTCATCTTTGAGATGCTTGGTCTCAGTGGGGGGTACAGTGGATAACTAAAAATAATACCTTTTAAAAATTATAACAGTAGTGACATGTGAGACCAAGGACCTACAGGTAGTAGGGTGTGATCAACTCTTAGAGAGGGTGGTCTGGAAAGGCTTATCTCAGAGGAGGTGATGTTTATGAAAACAAAACAAAAATAAAAGCCTCTTTTCCCCCCTAACAATAACAACATATAATTATTTTTAAAAGTTGAAATAATACAACAATTGTGAAGAAAAAAGTAAAAATGTAACTCCCACCATCCATAAGTAGCCTTTACTAACCTTTTATTGAAGAAGGTACCAGTCAAAAGAATCCTGGGATTAGTTAATAAGATCTAATATAAGCACAAGGAGTGATATTATATATGAGTACATATGCTTATGCATAAAATATATATGACTGTGGGCAGTCCTGGTGGCTCAGCGGTTTAGTGCCACCTTCAGCCTGGGGCATGATCCTGGAGTGGATCCCTCGATCGGGGTCGAGTCCCACATCAGGCTTCCTGCATGGAGTCTGCTTCTCCCTCTGCCTGTGTCTCTGCTTCTCTCTCTTTCTCTCTCTCTCTCTCTCTCTCTCTCTCTGGGTCCGTCATGAATAAATAAATAAAATATTTTAAGGAAAAATAAATAAAATATATATGATTGTGATAAATACATGCTATCCTATTCTATGCATACACATGATTTTATAGAACTTTATAATTTGTTCACATATAAATTCTGGAGAACCAAACACATTTTTTATTCCTGTTTTTGAGCTCATATTTTATTAATCAAACTTGCCAGAGGCTTATCTATCTTATTCATATTTTCAGAAAACTGAAAAAAGTATGTCTTTGGAAACTGAAAAGCACACATTTAAATAAATCATGGATCAAAGATGAAATCACATTGGAAATTAGAAAATACTTGGAAGTAAATAAAATACAAACTTGTGGGATGTGGCTAAAGAAGTGAGTAAAGGGATACTGGAGCTCAAAACTAAGGAATCAGGCATTCAACTAAAAAATTAGAGAGCAAATGAGTAAACCCAAAGAAAGTAGAAGGAAATACACAAACATAATGAGAAAAAAATTAAAAAGAGACCATCAACAAAAAGTACCAGAAGTAAGGGACGCCTGGGTGGCTCAGTGGTTGAGCATCTATCTGCCTTTGGCTCAGGTCGTGATCCTGGGATCGAGTCCCCACATCGGGCTCCCCTCCCCATGGGGAAGCCTGCTTCTCCCTCTGCCTGAGTCTGCCTCTCTCTGTGTGTGTCTCTCATGAATACACAAAATCTTTTTTTAAAAAAAGGACCAAAAGTTGGTTCTTTCAAAGTATAAATAAAATAGACAAATCTTTGGCAAGATTGAAAGGGGGTAAGGGTGGAGCTCGATATCAAATGAAATAGAGTATATCACTACGCATATAGTCGAACTTTTTAAAAATCATAAGTGAATATTACGAACCTTGGATAAATAAACAGTTTTCTAAAAATTGTAACTTAACTAAATCTGATTCAATAAGAAACAGTAAATAAACTAAAGGAACCTGGAACTACTAAAGACATCGAACGAGTAGCTTAAAATAGAACAGTGAAACAGTTGCTGGCTCTTGGAGTTTAATCCCCTTCCCTCTTGGACTAGGGAATGTCCTCTGACGTTTCAGAAGGGTTGGAGAGGTTCCAAGTATCTCCACCCTGCTAGAGGCGCTGAACTTCAGGGACAATTAAAATGACTCAGAGAAGTTGAAACTGCAGCTCAGCGACAGGCCAACCCTTCAGATCAATTGCTCAGGACATTAAGAAGGTCTTAAGCCACGGGCTGTTGCCTCTCTTGACAGGCCGCGGAGGAGACAGGCGACTGGGTCTCCAAAGTTCTGCAGCACCAGACCGGGCGGCCTCTAAGGGATGCAGAGTGCGAGCCTCCTACAGGACCCCGGGCCCGCGGGAGTCCGACAGCAACGAGGCCAGAACCAAACAGAAGTTTGATTAAGTATTGGCAAAAGCTGAGAGTTAAAAAAAAAAAAAAATTCTTTGTGATCACATTTTGCAACAAGGGCCCCGGATGCATTCAGACCAAAAGTACTGTGGTCTCAGCGGGCCACGGCGCTCGTGCACGAATTCCCCCCGGAAAGACCGCGGCAGGCGGGGCTGCGGCGCCGGGTTCGGCCGGGGAGCGGCGCGGGGCCCGCCCACGGTCCCCGGCCGCCCCCCCCCCCCGCCGCGCCCCCCGCCGCGCCCCCCGCCTCCCCGCCGCGCCCCCCGCCTCCCCGCCGCGCCCGCGCCCCACCTCCTCGGCCTCGCGGCCCAGGGGGATGCCCAGGCTCCGCAGCCCCTCCTGCAGCTCGCCCACGTCCACCACGCCGTCCCGGTTGTGGTCCAGCTGCTGGAACAGGGCCTCGTAGCGCGTCCGCCGCTCCGCGTCCTGGCAGGCCGCCGTGGGCGCCACCGAGCCCCGCAAGCGGCCGAGCATGGTCGGGGCGCGGGGGCCCGGCCCGGGGGGGGGGGGCGCGGCGGGGAGAGGGGAGGGGGAGGCGGGGAGGGGGGAGGACCGGGGGGGAGGCGAGGACCGGAGCGGCCCGCGGGGGAGGCGAGGGCCCGCGCGGCCCGGGGGAGGGAGACGAGGCCCCGCGCGTCGTCCGCGGGCGGCGAGGGCGCAGGAGCCGACCCCCGGCCCCGCCCGGCCGGCGCAGGGAGTGGCCGCGCCCGTCTCGGGAGGAGCCTGCGCGGCGCCCGCCCCCGGGGAGGGGGGAGGGGAGCGGGCCCCGGGGAAGGAGCTGGAGGCGAGGGCGCTGCGAAGCCCGGGTCCCGGCCGCGAGCCCCTCCCCTCCCCCCCCCCGAGCGCCCGGGGGCGTCCCCCGCGCAGGCCCCGGCACGGCGGCGCCCCCACTGCCTCCCGTGGCTCCAGGGGTACCGCATCTCTGGGCCTGGTGTCCACTGACAAAAATGAGGAAGTTGGGTGTTTGCACCTGGGGTGGGAATTCTGCTGGAAGAAGCAGAGGAGTTAAATCTGAAAGCAATTAAAAAAAAAAAAAAAAAGGAACACCTAAAACCACTAGGCATTATACTTCACTTATACCTCAGTAGAGCTGGGGGCAAAAGACGGAGAAACTCAAGGCTCTTTGGATCAAGGTTCATCCAGGCAGGGGGTGGTAAAACCAGGGATCCCCTTTGCTCTACAGCTTCGTATGATCCGAACCCTGATAAATCTCAGGGAGCATTTGCCAAAAGCGCTCGGCAGGGAAGCCTCCGGCCCCTCTCAGGAAGAGCGCAGCTGCGAGGCCTGGGGCTCACCTCCTACCACGGAACTTGGGAAGTAGGAGGTGCCCGGGTTCTGATCCGTAGCGTAACTGAGAGCTGGTTTTTCAAATCTGAAGATAGGCACCCATGTATTGCCTGGACAGACAAAATGCCCAAACCTAGAGCCAAATTTTTAGCACTAGGCTTCAATAATTTCAATTTCAATTTCAAATTTGAATTGAATCTCAAAAGTTTTTCTTCCTGTTTTCCAAGTTTTTGCTCCGGGTCGAGACCATTGTATGTAACCTCCCTCATCAGTAAAATCAGAGTATGAATATCGGCCCCATAACACAGTTGTATGTTGTATGAGGATTGCCTGTTTAGTTAAATCACTATGAGACCAACTTACTTCTTTATATTACTTCCGATTTCCAGTCTTGCTAAGGATTACCCTCTTCCTTTGGAAAAGCCTTCAAAGTTTCTATCTGTCCTTAAAAATCCCTTTTAACCTCCACTGCGGATGCTCTGTACTCGGAGAGAGGCTGCTTGAAACAGTCCTCCAAGACTTGAATGCTTTTTTTCTTGTAGTCATTACAGGAATTGCCTGTCAAAGTTTTGACTGAGAAAATTTATGTTCACACAAAAACGCAGCCTGAGTCGCTTTTATACAATGGAACACTACTTAGTGATAAAAAGGAATAAACTACTATACAATACACTACCTGGCATTTTGGAAAAGGCAAAAGTATAGGGACAGAAACCAGACCCACGGTTGCCAGGGGCTGCGAGGTGGGAGGTGTTGACTACATGTAAGAGCATAAGGGAGCTTTGGGGGGTGATGAAACTGTTTAGGTTTTTATTATGCTGGTGGTTATACAACTGTGTGACTTTGTTAAAATGAACAGCACTGTACACTAATTTTAATTATTTAATTATAATTATTTAATGTTTAATTTTACTCTGTGGAAATCAGACCTCAATAAATGTGACTTTAATTAGTACCTACCTGACTTAAACGTGAGTAAAATAGAATAAGGATTCACTGTAAGGGCACCTGGATGGCTCAGTGGTTGAGCGTCTGCTTTCCGCTCAGGTCGTGGTCCTGGGGTCCTGGGATTGAGTCCCTCCTACATCAGGCTCTGGAAAGGAGCCTGCTTCTCCCTCTGCCTATGTCTCTGCCTCTCTCTCTGTGTCTCTCATGAATAAAGAAATAAAATCTTTTTAAAAAATCACTGTAAAAATCAAAACCGTTTATGATGTTTACGATGTGTTACTCAAAGCTATGGTTGCAGACCAGCACCATCGGTATCATTTGGGAGCTTCTTAGGAAATAGTCTCAGGACCACCCCAGAGCTGCACTTAATGCAAGAGCCTTGGGTGATCCTTTGCTACATTAAAGTCTGAGATGCTCTGCTGGTATAAAGTAATACCACTCGAAGTATGGTTTGTACACTTGTGCCAGTTTGCAAGCTGTTACCTGTTCACAATGACCTAAATCAGACATTAAGAGGAAGCATTTAGAAACTTTATTGGAGTTTTGATGGAGTACTTTTATGTTTGTTGAGTCTAATACTAGCTTACAGATTGTCTTTTTAATTTCAACTTTCTAATAAATCATTTTTACTGTATTTTATAACAGTATCTGCCCACAACAGATTAAGAAAACATTTTTACCATACTGAATAAAGGTAAAATCAACAATAGCAACTTCCTGCATGAGAGAATAAAACTTTACATAGACGTTTAAACATCTGCATGAGAGAGGACATCCCTACCCAATTCTATTAATAATTCCCAAAGACCAGTGGTTCCTGCGGAGGTCAAGAGGAGAAACCCCGAACTCACTTAGGTTTCCTTAACCCAATTCATTTCTGTGGTCAGGACAGAAGTTGAGGGTTCAGCCCAACTCAGCTTGCCTCTATTTTTCCCAGTTTCTTTTCTTTTTCTTTTTTCTTTTTTTAAAGATTTTATTCATGAGGGACACATAGAGAGAAGCAGAGACCTAGGCAGAGGGAGAAGCAGGCTCCCTGCAGGGAGCCCGATATGGGACTCGATCCCAGGACCCCAAGATCACGACCTGAGCTGAAGGCAGATGCTCAACCGAGCCACCAAGGCACCCTTATTTTCCCCAGTTCCTGTCTTTCTTAAGTACTACCATCTTCTGTTGAGACAGCCTTCAAACTTTATCAATTTCACCTATTTTTGTCTTCAAAGGCCTCTTTGAGCACCCGCTTTGAATACCTTATAGTTAGAAAGAATCCACTTGAATGATCATTCTAGACGTTCATAGTTTTAGCTGGTAAACAAGTTTACCGTTTTTGGTTACTGAACCATGTAGTTATTGTACGGTGCTAATAAGATCAAGTCTCGGTCTCTCCAAAAGGACCAACTCTATGTCAAAATCCTAGTCACTGCTGCCTCAAAGTTAAGCAATTACAAAGTGGGGTATGTAAGAGAATTCGACTGGCTCAATATAAAGGCATCACCATCACTGGAAAGATAGTTTTATAATACAATGAATTTTAAACTCGAATATCCTAGTAGTCTTTAGAAAGATGATAATCATTTTAAGTTTTGACTCTATCATATTAAGCTAAGTGAATATTCAGACTTTCCAAGTCATTTAGGAGACCGATTTCCAGATGACAAGGTGAATTCTGTCTCTTGCTCAGCCTATCCAGTACCCCAACCCCTCCAAAAGTAAATGCAGACAGCTCAATCATTAAAAGATGGCACTTAATTACTAAAAGTTTGTCATTATTACTAAATCATGTAAATACTTCCCATTTCAAAACAGTTATGTCAAGTTCAAACTGGCTTCAAAACCACATACCTCACCACTTTGTAAGTAATTTTGTCAGACTGTGTTAAAATGTCTTCAGTTTGTGAAAATTTATATAAATTATGTTCTGAAGCCTGATAGATTTAAAATGAAAAAAGTTGCACATTTATTGAAGAATCAATAATTAGGAAAATTGGATCAATATTCTATACTGCTATTTTTGCCTGTCAAGCCTACATCCATCTCTCTCCCCACCCTCCCTTCCATCCCCCTCCTTCCTTCATCACCAGCCAAAAGCCTTGAAACAGGCTTGAGGAACTGTTTCAAGGACCCGGATGGGTCAAAGCTCAGAGAAAGGGGATGGCCAAGCAGGGCAGCAGCCTACTGGGCTGGGAGGCTGGTTACATACAGGGGGCTTGAGCCGATAAATAAATGTATCAAGGATAAAGAGAAGTAGGCTTCTTGCTCTCAGAGAAATGAGTTACAAATATGCAGAGGGGAATGCTACTATGAACTCTAGTGTTACATTCGAATTAGTGGTATTGATGTGAATGCATGCTTTCAATATTTTTGGATCTGGAAATATGAAGGGGTCTTTGTTCCCATGGAGCATACAATTTAGTCAGAGGAGACAAGACATAACTTAATCTTGCCTCCAGGGTTTTATAGCTACAAGAAGTTTGGGTTGTATGAATAACAATAAAATTAAGAATCTGTAAGACAATTTTTAAATGGCTCCTCTACATTCATTTTTTTAAAGATTTTATTTATTTATTCATGAGAGACAGAGACCCAGGCAGAGGGAGAAGCAGGCTGCATGCAGGGAGCCCGACGTGGGACTCGATCCTGGGACCCCAAGATCACCCCCAGACTCAACCGCTGAGCCACCCAGGGATCCCCCTCTACATTCATTTTTAAAGTTATGCTGTGCAGAGAGAAATTTCTAATGCCTCTTTTCCCATTTTAAGGTGTTCATCACTCATTTTTAAAACGGAAGTTCTTGCTGTTTTTTCTTTCATGCCTTTGTGCTACTTATATTCAAATTTTAAAGGTCTTAGACATGAAAGTTTGTCTATGTCTTTGTGATGTCTTCAAACTCACCATCACTTGTTTCTTTGTAGTAATGTCACTGTACCTGGATGCTTGTAATAAGTCTCAAGGGGTTTGAGAGCAATTCAATTTGCAGAAAGTTTGTCTCTTTTGTACACTTTCAAAGCGGTGTTCTGAAGGAAAAGCAGCCACTACCGTGATGGTGCCAACACGTCAGTAGAGGGCGCTGTAACCTAAGATGAAGGTGGCGGGTGCCCACTAGAGGCTGGGAGGGAGCTCAGGCAGGAGGATGGAAAGAAAGAAGGAAGGTGAGTGGGTCTTTTTATTTCTTAGCCATCAACAGAGTTATGGATCCCTAAACTATACTCACAAAAGATACAAACTAAAATCATTTTAAACGGATGTAACAGCATTTTTCCACTTATAAAATATTCTCTGTCCAT